GAAATGAAAAGAAAAACCAAAAAAAAAAAAAAAATTTAAAGAAACGAAAAAATGCAACACGCGACTTTCCCAAATAAAAACGCATTATAAACAATATGTTTTACTTTTATTATAGTTGTTGTTGTTGCTTTCTTGTTTTGCATGTTGCAGCCGGGCTTCCAATTGTTGGCCGTAATTTGCAATGATTTTCACTGCCAACCGCAGCAGAAGCGCCAGTAAAAGTTTTCCAATACCAAAACAGAAACAGAAACAGCAAGCAAAGAAAAAGAAAAGTGAAAAGCTTGGAGAGTTAGATTGGGACCCCCTCCCGGCTGCGAGGCCGGACGCGCTCGATGGACAACAGTCGATCATTAATTCATTTTCGCATTTCTAATGCCACCTGTCGCAGCGCCGCTTCAGTGAATAACTAGGGAGAGTGCGGATAATACAAATTTATGCCATAGATATGGGGCTTATTTGAAGAAACCTATAGAGATAAGGAAAGAAAATCTAGCAAAGTTTTTTCTAAGAATTTCCCCAAAGTTGACTAACATCATTCACATCTTCAGCAACAGTTTCGTTAAAGACACTCGAATATCTTATTATTATTATTATTGATTTATAAAGGGAAGACCGTTAAGTAACTTTAATAATAATAATGAATCTCTTCACCTTTTAAGGTAAAAGATTAAAGTAAAGGGTAAAAGGGGAAAATATTTAAAGAAAAACAACTTTAGAAGCTATTTTTACAAAAACTTGTTGAGCTACAATATTTATAAGAACCCCTTCATAAGAAATATAATATAATATAACATTATTTTTGCTGAGACCATTTATGTTGAAGAACATTATGTACATTCATTCATTCATAATTTGGTTATTATGAAAAGCTTGGATAGTATAAAATTATGATTTTGTTTTAGGATCTCATGATCTCACATACGGAAGATAAGGCGAAGAGTTTTAAAAAATCTAAAAATATCTAGCTGTATACAGGAAGAAGTTATCAAAGCAATTTATATCTGTAACCATCTCTATAATAATAACGCCATATAAATCATAATGCATTTAAATTTTTCTAAAATATATAAAAAATTTAATAATAATCAAACTAAAGTATAGATTGGAGTGAAATATTTATATCTATAATTATATATCTGAATACAAATATCTGAAGTTACTCGCATATTTATATCTTTAACTAATTCTAACCATAACTACAATAATCTAACCAACATGTTTCCATCTCCATTTAAATAATTATAAAATATATATATATATTCAACCATAACTTCTGTAAAAATAACTGCATGGAAACTTAGCATAGGGATTTTCCATTTGATTTCTCTAATTATATTATAGTATTGCGGTTGCCCGCTAAGCTGAAGCCTGCTCGCAGCGATTAATGTAGAAGGTATGCGAAGCAATAACAGCATTTATCGTTTATCGCAAAGGCTTTTGATAAAAATTCGCTCATGTGGTTCTGACGTGTTTTTTTCGGATAAGTGCAAAAATATTTTAAAGTGATTCAGCTACAGATTTAAGCGCTACGCAAAACAGCATGCCAGAGAAACAGAGACAGAGCGATTCAAAGAGAGAGAAAACAACAGAAATAACGACAAAAGACTTTCAAGCCAATTAAAATTAAACAAAAACTGTGAATCGTTCGTAGCGTACGATAAAGTTAGGGTAAACGACAAGGGTAAGACAGAAGGGGGAGGGTGATAGAGGGGGGATGGAGGTTCCTGACTATATATACAAGTGAATGATTACCGGTCGCACATGACACAAATGACATTGCAAACGGATGCGGAAAATGTAGAAATGAACGAACTGCACGTGCACGAAGCGAAGATACCCTGTAAAATACATGACATGGGATAAGCTGATATACAATTTGAGATAAAACTAACCCACTGATCAAAGTTTTGAATGCATGTTCGACAGTCCCAGAGTACAAATAAAATATAAGTTTATTTGAATCTATAAATATAAATATATCATATATACGTTTCGTCAATGGAATCTTTTAGTCAACTATCAACACGTACAGGGTATTAAAACTGCTACAGAATTTGATCTGAAGTCAGCTCCGATTCGCTTAGATCGCTTCGGCTCTAAGATGGGCAACTGGTCAGCTATAACGACGAATATCTCACGTTCAAGTAAAATAGAAACTCGGAAGATTTGCGAGTCGCGTAATGGAGACGATGTTGAAGTAGTCGACCAAGTAGACGAAGAAGAAGAAGCTGAACAGTTGACTGTGTGTAAATTTGTGGCAATTACACGGATTCGAATTGGTCTCTAGAATTGCAACAGGCGAACGGAAAAAAAAAACTAGTGAATTGGCAGAACCAACAATTATATAAACTAGAGTTGCAATCAGTCAGTCAGTCAGTCAGCCAGTTAGCCAGTTCGTCAGTCAGTCAATCAGACTGACATGATGCAAGCATCCAGCTGAGGCTGAATTGTGATAGAAGCACAGAAGACACGGGCGGAGGCATAGAGACGAAGATGTAGCCGAGGCTTTCAGAGTTCGCTGGGCTCTGTTTGAAGTATTCGACGAGAAAAATCTTTGGCTTACAAAATAATTTCAAGGTATTTAAAATGCACACAAGCTAAAGCAGTACCTACAACTACAACAACAATAATAACAACAACAGCAACAAAAATGTATCTTGTAGCTACAACTTGGCAGCGAATGCGAATGCGAGTGAAACTGAACTGAAACTGAAAAAAGCAAAAATAAATAAATAAATAAAAAATAAAACAAGACCAAAAAAAAAAAAAAAAAAAAAAACTGACCTCATTATTATTTTGTATAAATGTGCAGTTGCTTGTATGTGTGTGTGTGTGTGTGTGTGTCTGTGAGCTGGCTTCGTTTCGTGCACCAGCTCTAATATTGCGCCCAAAACATAATAATAAGCACACAATGAGCCTTTGGCAAGCGAGCGGGTAGCCGCAAGAGACGTATCTGACAGATACATATGTATCTGTATCTATAGCTGTATCTAAGCATGAATGCACACGTCTCGACTGTGAAGTGCTGCAAGGCAAACGACAGTAAACCAAATTGGCGAACCCGGAATCGCAAATAGCTATATGAGCACATGTAGCCACCCAACCTCTCAAATTATCATTAGCAATCTCATTATTAGACGAAAAAATTCGCATTCTGAAAAAAAGCTTTGGAATTCCTAATAATAATTCATCCTTGATTTATATATGTACTTGATATGCCGTGAAACATTTTTCAGTTTGTGCTCAACTTCTGAAACGGTCATTACCAATCTCATTATTATCCAAATAGAACTCTGATAAAAGCTTTTTATTTGCTATTAGTTTATCCATGATGTTTATACATGGTAAGACTTGGCTAGTGTTACTTATTTCTATCCAACTATTCATATGATCATGATTAATCTCATTTATATTTTATGATATTCAAGTTCTAAACAAGTAAGAACGTTACAGTCGGGCGTTACCGACTTCGGAATACTCATTCACATCCCATCAACAATTTAGTAGTTAAGTTTCGCTCTAATACTGTAGAATATACAGGCTTTTCCGAGTTGCCACGCCCCAACTGGGCGTAGACACCTCATTTTTGGTCAGTTTTTAGAAAGAGATAACGGTACCCTAACTGCAAAGTTTGAATCAAAAAATGTGAAAATTACAGGGTATTTTTCGATATGCCACGCCCCTAAAGAGGCGTAAAAATTATTTTTAGGGAATCGATAGAGGAGGCTACCAGTAACTCAACTATCCAAATTTGAAGCTTCTAGCTATTATACTTTAGGAGATATAAACTTTTGCGGTTTGCCACGCCCCCTGTGGGCGGACATATATCCGACAAAACTTTTTGGTCTTGGGTGATCAGTCCGAGTATATATACAAAATTTGAAGTCTCTGCCATCAATAGTGTCCAAAATATAGGACAATTTAAAAAATCACTATATATTCAGGTCCGATTGGCCACGCCCCCAATGGGCGTAGACTTATAATTTATCTTCAGACTTTATAGAATCATACCATTAGCTGACGTGCAAAATTTCAGCATTCTAGGTTTACAACTTTAGGAGATACAGTTTTATCCGATTTGCCACGCCCCCAATGGGCGTAGATATATCCGCCATAGCTCGTGATCTTGGGTGGTCAACGCGGACCTACATACCAAACTTCAGCTTTCTAGCTCTTCAACAAACATGATTTCTGGTATATCGGAAAATGCATTTTCCGATTTGCCACGCCCTTAGTGGGCGGATCGGGAAAATTTTAACACTTTATAAATCGGAGATATACACGAGTATGTGTTCCAAATTTCAAGTCTCTAGCTTCAATGGCGCCGAAATAGATTGCGTTCATACAGACAGACGGACAGACGGACGGACGGACGGACGGACAGACGGACAGACGGACAGACGGACGGACAGCAAGACGGACATTGCACAAAACCAATATACTGATTCACTTTCGTGAATGAGTATAAAAAATGGCTTGGGAGTCGCTTATACTTTATCCTTGATATATATGATATACACTTATGAATACGTTAATTTCTTCTTCATGTTCATGTAATTGCAACTATACTATATCCTTCATATATATTTAATATCGTGTAATCGTGGATAATAAGGTAATCAATCCTCTTAAATCAAATTATAATTTATCCGCCTTTACTTATACTCATAGTAGTTTTCTTATATTGAGCATCAATTTTTTTAAAAAATTATATTTTAATTTATCTGAATGTATCTCGGCTTATCCTTATTTAATGTAACTCTCAGAAATATTTTCGGTTTGCCAGAATAGTATGATATTATTATTCACTCTAATAGAAAGCCTGCAATTATTTTTACTTATCCGGATAAACAATAACTGGATATGCTCTACAGATATATCAACAGCAGTTATTGTAATTGAAAGATTTGGACAAAATCAATTTCCGAACTTTTAAATCATCGAAAATTGGATAATTGAACAAATCTGAATATATATGTATATATAGTAAGTGCGCTTACCACATGCACGCTGCTCTGCAGCTGTCCGGCTAACATCTGTGTCTGTGTCTGCTGTTGGGTCTCCGGCAGTTTCTTCTCAGTCTTTTTGGCCGCCCGCTTGTTCTTGCTCTCGAGGAAGCGCTTCTGCAGTGCGCTAGTCTCCTGGTTCTGCTGCTCGCAGACGGTGCTGAAGGTCTGCTCGTAACGTGGCACGCAGTCCGTCTGTCTGCGTCGATAGCCTTCCATGCGTCTGCGCAGGCGTTCAACAATTGGCTGACGTTTCGCTGGCAGTCCATCCCCTTGTGCAATGTTGCTGTTGTTGATGATGATGTTGTTGCTGTTGCCGTTGCTGCCGTTGTTGTTGTTATTGTTGTTGCCATTGGGTCCGCCGACAGCTGCTGCAGACGCAACGCCGCCAGCTCCGTTGCCGCCAGGGACAAGGCCGCCGACAATGCCGCCTGCTGCTGCCAAGTTGGCATTGTAGGGCGAATGCTGCTGCTGCTGCTGTTGCTGCTGTCGCTGCTGCTGCTGCTGTTGTTGCACCTGCAACTGTTGCTGTTGCTGCGCCTGTGCATTGTGTTGCTGCTGTTGCAGTTGCAATTGCTGCTGCTGCTGCAGGTGTATGCCCAGACTCTGCTGCTGCAAGTGCTGCTGATGCAATTGGAGATTCAAGTGCTGCTGCTGCTGATGCTGCTGTTGCTGTTGCTGCTGCTGCTGCTGCTGGGCGACGGCGGCTGCTGCTGCTTGGCTGGCGCTCTGGAACACTGGCAGGCCGCCCGCATCCATAAATGCGTCCGTGTTGAGGCTTTGGCTACGGCTCGTTTCTTCGCGTCAATCGTCCTCCTCCGTCTGCGGCAAACGCTGACGACGGCGACGAAATCACGAAGTAACAAGACCACAAAACGGCACCAAACACGCTCCAAACGGCGTTTCTCTCAGTGTAGTTCGAATTGCTTTACAATCTGCAATTCACTTCTTGCTTGACTTTCCTGTTGTTGTAGTTCGCAATAGCTACTGCTATGGCTATTATCGTTGTTGTTGTTGATGATGATGTTGTTGTTGTTGCTGCTGCAATTTTGTTGGAAGCATATGAGACAAAACAGAAGAAATTCTACGTTGCTCGATGTGGCGGGACGTGAGGCACAAGGCAGCGATATAAAGATTGGGTAGACATGCTGATTTATCTGCAAAAAAAAAAAAAAGAGAAAGAAAGGCAGAGAAAAAGAAAATGATTAATAATGATACGATATCTATAAACCATATCCAGAACTTATCCGATAAAAGATTTTCGATATCTTTTGACTGTTTACTTATAGAAAGAAGCAATAGCACTACCCAATCTATGGGTATAAAAGATAATAAACTAGATGAAATTCTTCTCTTGGCATTCTTTTGGTTTGCTTTTGCGAGTTTGCACTGTATTAGTGTAAATCAAAAATGCGAAGCATGCCGTTATTTATCAACTGCTTGATAACATATCATCAATCTCGAAATACTAAAATAAAACGGAACAATTCGAAAGCCTATTAAGCGTTATGTAGACACACATATTATGGTCGTCATATGGTCCGAAGATCAAAATGTGCGAAATTTTAAATCCGGAGCCAAAAGATCTAAACTGACATTTTCGAAAAATCTAAATTTACAGAGCATTAACTTCTCTAAATTCTAAACACGCTCTAGCATTTAATTTTAGTTAGTTACTTAAGCGTAATCCATTTATATAACTTATAGCACTTCGACACACATCTCAACCAGATTTAACTTTTTTATTGCTTAACTCTAATTGGAAACTTTTTTTAGAGCTTAAACTTTTCACACGGAGCTTTTATTTTCTTTGGTTTTGTTTTGGCAACTTTTCTCATTTTGTTTCTGTTGGATTCCCCCCAACAGCGGGTCGCAAAATATATAACTGCTGATAAGACACGAATGGACTAGCATATGAGTCAAAAATCATATAAATATAAGGTGCTACGTGCTTCAAGCCAGCGTCGAGAAAACCATAACAACACAAATGTTAAACAAAATGCAAAAAAGAGCAACTAGACGACTATAATTCACTGGAACTGATGATAAGCAACAACAACAACGACAGCAAAATTAATCCGTAACGTAGCGTAAGTGCAGCAACAATAATTACGCACAACTGAGATTAAAGGCTTTAATCGCTAGCGAGTCGCGCGCGACTTTGCTCGCGTGTTTGCCCTGTAGCAAAAAAAAGCAACGAACGGACAGCGAACTGCGAGCTGCGAGCTGCGAACTGGCCTGCACGCGCGCTGCCAAATGAATGAATGACAAACTGACTGAGTGACTGACTGACAGACACTGCTGTGGTTGGCTCGCTGCACGCTGTGTGTGTGGGAGAGGGGGGCTCTGTATGGACACGACTGCAACGAACCCAACGAATATGTTGGAGTTGTGAGAGACTCTGATGTGAATCTGTATGTGTGTAGTCACAAATGAGCAAACCTTTTGCAACTTATGGCTAATGTGGCACGTGAAGCACGCCGGCCGAAAAGGCACAGGGCATACACGGGTGGGGGACAGGGCACCCAGTCAAATTAAGCTGTAAACAAAACAGGTTTGCAAGGCTAGAGGAACGCACGCCACAAGCGGCAAGAAATGGAAGTGGAAATGAAGAGAAGCAAAAACAAAAACAACAAAAATATACTTTGAAATACAAAACAACAAAAAACAGAATCTCGCGACGCGCTGCGACGCAACGACGACGCGTTCGATGATCGAACGAGCGACTCGCATACAAACGAACGGCGGTTTGGCCGAACTCTTGAACAGGCGCTCAGCAAACGGCGGCAGCGAACGCCGACTGACAACGACTCGCAGCAGCAGCCGCAACCAACGTCAAGTGCCGCTAGACAGAGAAAGAGAGGGCGAGAGAGCGAACAGCGAATACGTAACGAACGAGCAAGCGAGCGTACGGCGAGTGCGAATATAAACGAGACAAGGCGAAACGAGTTGGCGTGAGCATTTGTTTACATTTGACATTGTTTTTGTTGCATACCTTGCGCTCTCTGCTTTACTCTCTCTCTCTCTCACTCACACGAGCGAACCACCCACAGTTTGGACTACGGAGCGAAAGGCGAGCATAACTGAGCCAGAGCAAAGCACAAAGCGAAAAAGGTCAAATTTTTGAAGGCGAACGATTTGTTTGCAGTCTTATGTTGTGGCTGCTCGAGTTTAATTAGGAACTAAGCCACGCGCTGATTTATTTTTAACATAGTCTGTTAATAGCAAACATATGAATATGTTTACATAAACGAACCTGCAGACATGCATATTTACATACATATATGTACATACCTATGTTTACATATCAACAAATAATACACCTACATACTGTACATTATTAATCTATACTAAAAATAATATAGTAGCACTTAATGACGTAGTTAATTGGGTTCCAACTGATAGGCAGCTATTTATATATTGGCATGACGTCACATGACGTCAAGTGTTGCACAGTGCACTGATAAGCAAAAGTAACGTTGTAATACTTAGACAGCTTTTGCGTCAAAAGCGCCTAGGCATCGATAACCGTTTTATGAGCTCTTTGCATTTAATTAAAAATCAAATCCAGAATAAAGAAAAGCTCAACGCCCTTTACGTTCGCATTAAATTACACCGCGTCGAGTTAATCCCATTCCGAAATTTACATTGTTTTCGCATGGTGGGAGGGCAGGGTATCAAGAAATCGATAAGAGTCATAAAATTTCGTGCAGTAAAATTTCAGGCAGTAACTTGGGCTTTGCCTAGCGGAACGATTTTTACAGTAACTGTAAAAGCGGGCATGAAGATGAAATTTATTGCATATACACACACAAACGCATGCATACCCAAACAAAATAATGATCAACTGCAAATTAATTATCATTACTGCAACTTCATTATTTTCACCATAATCAAACAACAGAAAAGCAACAGACAAGACGAAGCGACGGAAACCGCAAGCAACAGCACAAGCAGTAACAGAGTCAATAAAAAACAGAGAGTGAGAAAGCATACCAAGAGAGAATACAGACGCACCAGAGGGGACAGAATATACATGTGTATATGAGAGCACATTGATTCATTACAAAACAAAAACAACGAAAATCAGATATATACATTACAAACTTTGTATTCATAATGGCAAACAACCACAATCCATACATTGCCCGCTTTTCTTCAAATATATTACGCTACAAACTTTTCAAGCAGCTCTCGATAAACGTCAGCGTCAATGTCTGAGACTCATGACAACGGCGGAGCAAGAGAGCACTCTCACAGCGTCTGCTGTAAGCGGAGCCACACTCTTAACAGTAAAGCAATGTTAAGTAACAGTCGCCGCCGGCACTGAAATTGCAAAATCGGCGCAAATCAAAAATCGCCGGCGACGACAAAAACGCGTTCAAGCAACGTCAACGACAATGTATGCACAGTGGACGAAACCAACAAAACAGCTGCTTACATTCTGAACGACATGCTAAATACCAATATCAATTAACATGCAATATGCGAACTATGTAAATACTGGAAAATTTTTAGAATTTCATAGCAGCTGCATGGACCTACGCAATGGCGCGTCGCTGCTGAGCATAAATTTCAAACAATCTTTCATTTTATCGCTTAAATCGTTTATTGTGTCCCACCGTGCATTTTGTCCACTGTGCAACGGCGACTTTTTCAGGCAAAACGACGGCGACTTACGTCGCGCGTCTATCGCAAAAACTAACAGGCGCCCAGCAAACGATAACAGCGTGATGCGATGTTCTCTGCAGCGTAGGCAAGAGAAAACTATGTACGAGTGAGCATCTGTGTGCGTGCCAGCCAGTATGTGCGTGTGTGTATGAGTTCGCTCGTTCGCTCGTCGCTGCTGAGTGAACTGTTTTTCTATCCTCGTCTGACAGCCTCGGCTGCTTATGTCTGCGACTGTGTGACTGTGTGCGTCGCTGTCTGTCTGAATTTGTTGTTGCCTTTGTTGTGTAAGTGGCAACAGCAACAACAGCGACAACAACACGAATTTCAATTGTTTTCATTGCTCTTCCCTTTAGCTGTGCTGCTCAGCAGCAGCATAGCGCATAACATTTTCTTGTATGTTTTTATGTTATGTTAACGCCTTGTAGCTGAGCGTATGTTAAGAGCTCCAACAAGAGACTGTTTAAATATTTGTTAACAGCGATTTGTATGCATAGGAGAAGTAGATGTTTGCAGACATTTTGCGTAGTAAAGCGTCAGTCAAATATTTTTCAAATAACATATACATATGTATGTTTTTGTGTATATTGTTTTCCCTTAGAGATTATCTATTGCCATAAAAGTCATCAGATTAATTTTGAATTTATAGCGATTTGTTTATGGCACTTTTGGGATTGGGGACATTGGGCGAATCGCGCGCGTTTATAAACGCACATAATTCGCGAAGACAAGTCGTATTTTACAACGATGGCAAACGCCTTCTCGGCTGCGCGGCCATGTGCTGCACTGGCTGTTGGCCCGTTAGAAAACGACGCCAAACAAAATGGTTCCGCCGCCGACGACGAAGCCGGCAAACGGGCAACGGGCAACGACAGCGACAACGACAATGGCGACGGCAACAGCGAAGGCTTCGGCGATGTCGTCGCTGACGACGACCGACAAAAAGTCAATTTTATCGGAATATAACAGGCAATAAGCAAGCGGCAAACGGCAATGGCAAATGGCAAATAGTGCAGGAAAAGCGTGTGGAAAAGCGCGTGTGGAGACAAGCAGCGACCGTACGCCCGCCTGGAAAGCCGACTGCCCGCCAGCATTTGTAGCTCTGTAGCAGCTTGTTGGATAGCTGAGCGCCTAATCCAAATTGCGAGAAAGATCCGCTTTTAGAGCTAGTTCAAGGCACACGCAGCTCCACAGCGGGCACAATTGCAGCGAACCAACTCACGAACACAAAAGCAAACATTGCCCCAAGCACAATGAGATTGAGAGAGTGACGGAGACACAGAGAGCGGGAGAGCACAGTTACAGGCGAGAGCAAAGCTCTGCGAATTGCATTGGCTGTAGTGGGTGGTGACTGCTGAATAGGCTGAGGAAGAAAGATATGGAGAGCGAAGGAGAGAGGGAGATGATGAGCTAGGTGTAGTTAGAATCTCACCGCAGCCTCTTCCACTCTTCCGCTATCTGGCACACAGCAATTAGCTTAATTGTCTCTGTTGATGTTACTATTGCTGTTGCTGTACTGCAGCGAGGGCGGTATGTTAATTTACATAGGTAAAGGCATTATGCGTACATAACATATATAAAGGCCGTTTATTTACATGCGTATTAATGTTAAAATTGATCACTGCTAAAACATAAAACTCTGAATTGAGTCTTAATAAAAATGCCTAGGAGTGAAATCAAATATTTATTTTTGTTTCTTCAGTTATTCTATAAACAGCCCTCGCTTGGAGTTTCATTTTCTAATCCCTGCACATGCGCCATGTGTCGCTTCTTGGGGTATATCGAGCCGCATATTCCACATGCTGCATGCCGCACGCCTTGACGAAACTTACCCCTTGTTTGGTGGCAGGCCAGGAGGAGTGTGGGTCTCCTTTACTGCCTGTACTCTGGCTTCTTCTTATCAGCACAAATAGTTTTTGTGCAATTGTGACAATTAAATTGTTAGCTAGGGGCAGTTCTTCGTGTGGTTGTTCCAATTGGATGGCAGAAACGTGGCCATAAGTGCGGCAGTGTTGCCTGCAAAGAAGAAGACGAAACACAATGATTAGGTGGAAATGTTAAGATAGATAATATCGGAACGAAGGCGATAATTTGGCAGCAATTGAAGCTGCAGTACAACTGCTATTAGCTACTTAAGATACGTGAGTGTGAGAGCTAATGAGTGGATGGAAATAATTATGAAACGAATGAAAGCGATACAAAACTTTTGATGAGTTTAAGTTATAAGAATAGGGAATAAAATATGGAACAACTAGGTACACCGATATGCAATTACAACAAGTAATTAGACATATCTTTTTATACCCTGAACCCATTGAAAATTGAAAATGGGAAATCAGGGTATAATCTTTTATTTTTTTTTTATTTTTATTTTTTTTATTTTATTTATTTTTTTTTTTATTTATATAGACCATATATAATAATGTACTTATCAAACTACACAAATATATTTAAATATATATTTTTTAAATATATATATTTTTTTATATAATAATTCGCCAAGTTCTTGAGAAGAAATTTGAATCTTGAATAAAATTTTGTTGTACATTTATATCTATTGTAATAAAATCATTTGATAAAAGAAATGCATTGTTTTGTATGTAGATATACGAATATCGTGTATCAAATACGTTTTACCCACTATGCTAACCTCATTCAATGAGAATTGCATAGAGAGGCGCATTTGTTTTGGTTCACACGCGCCGATTTGCAATCGCAAAAGGAAAAGCCGCACTAGTAAATAAATGCAAATTGCCAGCGACATGATGGCTCCAACTGTTGGCCAGCTGCAACAGTAGCAGCAACAGCAGCAGCAGCAACATCGGCAACAACAACAACAACAGGTTCATGCAGGAAAAGTGAGGCGACGTCTCTTGCAAAACAGATGTCGTCTGGAAGCTGCGGCGGCTGCTGCTGCTGCTGTTTCTGCCGTTGCTGCTGTTGCTGATGCTGGGGCTCTCACATGTGGCATGTGCAAACAGCTGCAACATGCAGCCGCAACATTTGTTGGGTTGCAACAACTTCTTTTGCTGCTGCAACATTGCAGAGGGCGCCACTGTTGTTGTTTCGTGCCACCAGCGATGCGGCGCACAGCAAATGCCGAAGGCCCCAAACCATCCGAGAGCCAAATGTCCGGGATACAACAGCCTGGAAAATTCGCAACTGGCCAACAAGAAACAGCAACAAAAGCAACAACAATGAAACCGGTTCAAACAACAGCAAAACTAGCGCAAAAAGTAGACAAAGAGTGGGGCACACCACCACCACTTGAGCCAGCACTTGGTGGGGCTCGTTGTCTTTTTTCTCCTCTTGTCTTCTTCTCCTTTTTGCTTAGTATTTTGCTTCGTTTTCATCTGCTCAGCAACAGCGGCCGCTTCTGCCATTTGCTGTGCTCCCGGCTTCGCTCAGGCGCCCAGCAAGCAGCGGAATGCGACTCGGGCTATCCCCTGCTCTGATTTGATTCAGTTAACAGATGAGCTTTAAATATTATAACATAATATACATTCCAAGGATTAACAGGGTTAGTTTTTATTTAGATTGCTTTCTGGACTTTAATTAAAATATTCCCCAACCTGCTTCAGTTGAAGTTAACGAGTTAACAGAAATGTAGCTAGCTCTTCTTGCAGGTAACCAGATTGACCTTTATATTCAAATCACGAATATTAAAATTTTATATCTACAGCTGTATCCATGACATATAATGCGACTGAGTTTTGATAATTCAGTGATAAACTCAATATTTGGAAAACAATTCGATATGAATATTAAGATTAACATTTTATTATGTTAATTATTATTCTTTTATTCCAATTATGTTGAATATGGCTTTTCATTACAAAATTATGAATTTACTGCTTTAGATTTAAATACTTGTTGATCTTTGATTGCTGCATCAGAATGTTTATTTACAAATTTTTTAATAAACTTTGTCCTTATTCAAGGCAACAAACCTTGTACCTTAGCGAAGGTGAAGATGAGCATATGCGAGCTTAGAAATGCAGAGAATACTAATATCTTTTTTCATACACATCATTACGGCAACTGAACGTACTTCTCTTTTGATTTCAGTCTTTTATTATTCATTGTCATTTACTTAACAGCTGCCCTAAGCCTCTTCTCTGCTATTTCTTTTATCCCTCATCTGTACCGCTCTCCCCCTCTCTCTTTCTCTCAGTTATTTGACTCCGTATTCGTACTTAGTATTGATATCCTAACAATATATAATAATTCTATTAATAAACCATTGATTTTTCATCTTACATTAAATTAACATTACATGTCGAAAATAAATTAATTGGCAATCCTCTCCAACGCTTATCTATAGGAAGGTCTTACGAGGGTTATCAGTACGCTGAGAAATCGCAATGAGATTATGCGCAATTCTAAAATTCACAACTTAAAGTGTTGTGTAACGATCAGCAGTGCAATGATGCAACTGATTTGATAATAATTCAGCGTGAAAGCCCTTAGGGAAGCGTATAGGAAATACTCTAGCAAATATAGATACAAAGAATAGGGTTGTCAAGTCAGCAGAGAACAGACTAGGAAATGAATGGTAAAGTCTAATAAAATAAATAAATATTTTTTATTATATTATAGTATAGAGCAACGTAATATATAGGACTATTAAATGACATAAATTGGATTAGTTTAATAAACAGTGTTGTATATGTTCAGCTATACAACCATGTAGCGAAGCACTTAAAGTAGTGCCGTATAATTCTTCAATAATAAATGAACAGAATTAAAATATAATTGAAGTGCGCTCTATATATATATCTATTTCAAGTAATTAAGGGAAACAGTCCAAAAATAGTTTCGCTTTGAAGCAATTGTCATACTTCAATCGACAGAAATAGAAAATTAATTAAAGTTAAGTCGAGTCCTTTTGAGCGCTTTGCTAGTTTTACAGGCAACATTCACTTATTATTATCCCTTTATTTTATTTTTTTTTCGGGGAAAAGTCACCCCTGTCTCGTATCTGTGTGTGTGTATCTGTAGCTATGGCTGTGCGCGCCTTTCGGGTAGATACAAAACACTGCACATCGAGTGGTTGGCCGTTAAAATGTTGTACAACATGCGTTAAACGGCGCAGCTGCGCCTATCCGGGCTGCAGGCAGAGCCCGGCCGGCGGGAGGAGGGGTGGGTATGCCAGAGGGTACGAAGCGATTGATGAGCCATACACTGGGCCTTAGCTTCAGCTTCAGCGTCAGCTTCGGCTTCGGCCCTTTGGGTGGCAGAAGAAGCCAAAAGAAGTTGCAGCCAAACAGCTCGAAACGTTCACAGTTTGCGCTTCGCTAACTGCACAGGCAGGGGTAGAGAGATGCTAAGAGTGGGAAGACAGCAGCAGCAGGCTTTGGATATCAAGGGGGACGGACTGCCAGACGCCTGACAATGCGTTTGTCATTTGACAAACCAGCAAATGACCAATTGAAGTGCCTGCGAAATGGCAAGCGATTGTCCAAAACTGACTTTAAGGACATTTCGAACACTGTGAATGGTTTAAACTGTCTAATAGGCAAACATCTGTGCAAATCTTTTAGAGACTCCATATATAACACATATAAAAAGTGTGAACTGAATATTCAATTGCAGTGTTGAGTTTTATTGTGAGACGAGCACTTTGGCTTTTAGCTACACAAAGACTGTAAATTTTAATCTAATTCAAGTTTATTGTGGAACCTTTTGAGAATTTTCGAGACTTGAAGGCACTTTTAAGGGGCGTTCTTATATTCAAAATGAAGTCTGTTGGCTCTTACGCAAACTGTGGCATGGAGTGATAAATAAGAATGGCAGTATCCGACTGGAGGATACCCTAAGCAGCGAGCCGAGCAGCCGCATTCAACATTTTAGCCTATCTATATTCACAGTTCGATCCTATAGACATTTTCAGATAAATAATATGGCACTAGATTGAGTTTCACGCAAATCAAAGGGTGACCAGTCTTAAGTAAAATGTTTGCTTTCATATAAATATAGCTATTTACGATATCTGATCAACTAATGGAAGCTTAATAATCGATAAAATATCGATTATATTAAAGCAGAAAGTATTATAGAGATAGGTAGACTTTACCCTTACATCGGCTGTTCCGTTTATTGAAGTCCCCTTTTCAAAAACCTAAAATTTACGACTGTTTTTTTTTTTCACAATTTAAAATTTATTTAGTTATTTATTTATTTACATGTATTTAACACATTTACATAGTTTCAAAGCTGTAAGTTCAGGCCGTTCAACTAATGGAAGCTTAATAATCGATAAAATATCGATTATATTAAAGCAGAAAGTATTATAGAGATAGGTAGACTTTACCCTTACATCGGCTGTTCCGTTTATTGAAGTCCCCTTTTCAAAAACCTAAAATTTACGACTGTTTTTTTTTTCACAATTTAAAATTTATTTTTTGCTATTTCATCATACCTAGCAATAAATATATATGTCTATAAACAGCAAATATGTTGGCCAATAAATAGCAAAGCTATAATTAACATATCCCAATAATCACAGAGTATCTGTCAGTCGCGCAATGACCTCTAACACATTTACATAGTTTCAAAGCTGTAAGTTCAGGCCGCCTACAAATATCTATTTGTAGCTGGGACTCGTTGCTCAACTGGTTTTGTTCAATTTTATTTATATAATTCATGTTGATATTATATGAAGACTCAAGTGAAAGTGCAAACGTAAAATTTTTAAGATTTCTTTGGTTTCTATTCTAGCTGGTTTTTAAGTTTTTCTAACTTGAAAGTTTAATGCTTGTGATTTAAGCAATTAAAAATAGCAGCAATAACAACAATATTAATAGTATTAAGTGTCATAAGCTGGTTAGTTGAGGCGAGGTTTGTTGTCAAGTTGTTCTCATGTTCACAGTTGTTAAAGTTGTTGTTGTACCCTATACCAATTAATAATGGGGTATAACAGTACAGGGAAACTTTGTAGTAGAATTTTAGAAATTTAACATTGAATAGACTTCATGTATAAAGTTATACAGCATAAGTAAATATTTCATCAATAC